CTCTTCCTGCTTTCATAATTCAGTTTTGTAACAGTTAAACTGAATAGTATCAGTCTGAAACTGCTTGTCTACCAGTTAATTAAGCTTCTCTAGCATGCCCGTGCATAGGTCACCCAGCACACACTCTATCTCTATGCTAAAACATGATCTAGCATTACAAAACTTTCAATTCATGTACAGAATGACAAAGCTGTGTGTTATTTCAGAAGTTAATTATTTCTATTTCTTGTTGGATCATGCTTCTATAGATCAGCTTTAGACCAAGGGCACTGTTAGACAAATGGCATATATTAAACAGTCTTTTCTATTAGGAAATGGGAGAACTCAAAAGCAAATAGGAAACAAACAGTGGTCAGCTAAGGCAGGATCTAGGCCCTATGTCTACAGAAGGACTTCTAGACTAATTTTTCAGCGTTGAACCAGTAAGATTGGATTCAGATATACAAAAATAAAGCTTGACATTTTAACCCATGTGTTTCAAAGGGTGCATCTACACAGATAAAGACTGTCGTAAGTTTCAACAAGGCCAGACAAAGGTCATCGCTTGTTTGGAGGCTCTACAGCAGTATGTACTGGTGTGGTGGTGTTTTCAACCTCATCCTGATTCTCAGGAAATAAAAGCACCAGTCTGCCTACAGCCAGACAGAGGACCTGGACAGAGCACCTTGGATTTATTTTCAGTAAGATCAGGGTGTGGCAGTCGTGGAAGAAGCCAAAGAACCTCTATAGGTCTTTTGAAATTAGTTTCATCTGGATGACCGGTTTACAGTGGAACCCCAAGAACAGACTGGTGCAACATCCTCCAACTAGAGAAGAACAGGAAGAAAGAATTAGTAAGTCTTTTTAAAGGGGATACAGATTCTTATACAAATCTCTTTTGGCAATAGGTAAATAAACACTGAATCACAGAAAAGCCTACCATTTACAACAATAGATAACCAAAGCCTCTGGAAACAGCAGATGAAGTCATTAGTTCCTCTGTCTGTCCTTCAGTCTTTAGTATCTTTATAGCTGAAGTGTAATTAAAGCAAACTTGAATCTCAGGGGCTTATAGTTTTCCTTTGTCCCATTTACTGCAGTGCTACCTATACTGTTACTCTAGTTCAATTTTTTAGTTTCTCATACCAGGTAGGACACTGAGGCCTGGTAAAGAGAATTATTTTAAATGCCTATTTAAGCCACTGGAATAGTGATCAAGCTTCAGGCTCTATAAGCAAGAACAGGCTCCTGAACATCCCTAAATACCCATATTGATAGCACCAAAAAAGCCGTAACTGCATACTTGCGCAATCAGGGTGTCAAACAGTCATTCTGTAGCAGTTCTGGCTGACTGCCTGCAACTAGTACATGGCTTCCATTAAAATCCAGACACCCATGTTTTTAGGCTATTTCTCTTTCAAGTTGTTGGGGCAAAACTGTCATGATTCATTTATTTCTACAGACTCCAATTGTTGTTATGCATCTTGCAGTCTATACAAGTCATTTAGTAAGGACAAGGCACTGGTGTTACAACTAAATAGTGTCCTGCATTCTCTGTTAACAGTTAGTTTCTATACTCAGATAACATATCACAGTATCACAGTATGTTAAGAGATTGGAAGGGACCTTAAAAGATCATCTAGTCCAATCCCCCTGCCGGAGCAGGAACACCTAGATAAGGCTACACAGGAACGTGTCCAGGTGTGTCACCTGGACACGTGTCTCACCAAGTTGGTCGTATGTAGCTAGAAAAACTGGTGTAAATACTTTCTTATGTAAGCATGTAAAACTTGAAGCTGACCAATTTGTAACCTGTCAATTTACTGGTTGATTTAGCTGTTACTCGGAATTATTTGTTGAAGCACTAAGGAAGAAAACTAGGCCCTCTGTAAGAAATTTTACGTTCTCCAGAAGCAGATAAGCTGCCCTTAGTATTTAAAATCTGAGAGAAAAAAAATCCATGAGCTCTCCTGTGAGAAGAACATCCAGGTCAGAATAACCAAACGACCCTGTGATTCAGTGTTGATGCTGATTTAGGTCATTTTTACAGAACTTGGCTAGAAATCAAATAGATAAACCAGCAAACAAGCGTTCCAGCATCTGATGGTAAGGTGGCAATGAGTATCGGGTAGTGAGGTGGACTGTGAACTGGCTGAAGGAGAGAAGCCAGAGAGTTGTAGTCTATGGGGCGGAGTCTAGTTGGAGGCCTGTATCTAGTGGAGTGCCTCAAGGGTCGGTACTGGGACCAGTATTATTTAATATATTCATCAACGATTTAGATGAGGGAATTGAGTGTACTATCAGCAAGTTTGCTGATGACACTAAGCTGGGAGGGGTGGCCGACACGCCAGAAGGCTGTGCTGCCATCCAGAGGGACCTGGACAGGCTGGAGAGCTGGGCGGGGAATAACTTGATGAAATATAACAAGGGAAAGTGTAGAGTCCTGCATCTGGGCAAAAACAACCCCAGGTTCCAGTATAGGCTGGGGAACGACCTGTTAAGAGAGCAGTGTAGGGGAGAGGGACCTGGGGGTCCTGGTGGACGACAGGGTGACCATGAGCCGACACTGTGCCCTTGTGGCCAAGAAGGCCAATGGCATCCTGGGTTGTATTAGAAGGGGGGTGGTTAGTAGGTCGAGAGAGGTCCTCCTCCCCCTCTACTCTGGCCTGGTGAGACCTCATCTGGAATATTGTGTCCAGTTCTGGGCCCCTCAGTTTAAAAAGGACAGGGACCTGCTGGAGAGAGTCCAGCGCAGGGCAACTAAGATGATTAAGGGAGTGGAGCATCTCCCTTATGAGGAAAGACTGAGGGAGCTGGGTCTCTATAGTTTGGAGGAGACTGAGGGGTGACCTTATTAGTGTATATAAATATATAAAGGGGGAGTGTCACGAGGATGGAGCCAGGCTCTTCTCAGTGGCAAACAATGAAAGGACAAGGGGTAATGGGTACAAATTGGAGCACAAGAGGTTCCACTTAAACCTGAGAAGAAACTTCTTCTCAGTGAGGGTGACGGAACACTGGAACAGGCTGCCCAGGGAGGTTGTGGAATCTCCTTGTTTGGAGACATTCAAAACCCACCTGGACACGTTCCTGTGTAACCTTATCTAGGTGTTCCTGCTCCGGCAGGGGGATTGGACTAGATGATCTTTTGAGGTCCCTTCCAATCTCTAACATACTGTGATACTGTGATACTGTGAGTAGTTGGGCACAGTAAACTGCTTATCTAGTAGAGCTACTGCCACACTGTAACCATAGCCTTAAAGTTAAGCTCTTTATCCTCTCATTATGCTGAACTATTTATCTGTGCAAGTTTCTTTTGCTTAAGCAAATATAAATTACACTTATTCATTTAGTTGTTTATTATCACACAGTTACAACACTGCCTATCGATAATTTCTGTTATCATTTATTCTTGGTCTTTATGCAACGTAACAACCTAGGGTCACAGACTATGTATTTCTTATTTTTAGTGTATGGTTTCCACTTAATTAACTTTCTTTTTAGGAGGTTGTGCTCAGCACCACAGATACACTGTCCACGCTGACATCTACAACCTTTACTTAACTTTTACCACATTAACCTGAAAGAAAGAGCAACATAACAAAGCACCTAATGCATAATAGCCAACTATCCGCAATGAACAACTCTAAGTTGCTCTTCAATGACAGCTGACAAGGGCATGAATCATGTAGATAAATTTAACAAAAAAATTCTACTGAACACGGTACATGTAAGTCCATGGCATCACTTCTGCACGTTCTAGTTCCTTAAATATATGCGTTTATGTGCCTTTAATGGGAATGTGAAGGACTTCCTGTGACACATCCAGCAGAATACCCAATTAACTTATGATTAGCCTGTCTTCCTAGAACGAAGTTATAGCCTGTGCCACTCTTTGGCGATACAGGTTTAGTCACCAAGCCAGAATTACAAGTTCACAAAGACTTCATATGGATTTTGCCTAGATATTTTGTTCATTAGATACAGCTTGTCAAAACTAGTAATTGGTTTAAGGTATGTAGATAGTTTTCCTTTTACCCAAAACCCAAAACCAAATCCAAAACAAAAATAACCCCAAACCAACACAAAAAACAAACAACCCCAATATTACCTTTAGTAACGTGTATTTGCTTTGAAGCATTTTCTCCACACATTTTGCTCACATCCACTTGTCATTTTCACCACTGTATAAATTGTCAAACTTAAGTGTAGCACATATTTACCATGATTGCGTAGGGGGTAAAACAAGTACTTTGTGGATACACCATTTTGTTAAATTAACAACAAACATAGTTTTATTGCATTTTGTTTCCTGCTCTTGATTTAACTAAATTTGTATTTGGGTGATAAGCTGTTGACAGTGGGACAGATTAACGGGTACTGTGAAATAGGGCACTTGTGATGTTGAAAACTTCCCAGGTCACTATCTGGTATGCTGTGCTACCAAAACAGCATTTTTAAATCCAGGATTGTTCATGTATCTTGCAGGTTGGGCTTAAAATTCAGACTTTTGGAAGGGAAAGGAGGTTGCTTAGACAAGTAAAAGGGGGAGTGGTACAGCTAATTGCATTTCAAGCCACAACTCTTCAGGAAATGAACCATGTCATTCCCCATTCCTGCGGTTTTACTATTATGATCCAAGAACACTCACAGAACACCAAGTTAGCACCCTGAGATGATTTGGCAAGTGCTTTCCTGCCTATGCCAGCTATTGTTCTAATAATGGAGAACCTGCAGGGGCTCTGGTTAGCTAAATTTGAAGAAAAGATGACTGATGAAAAGCAGAGTTAGTGAAATCCTTATTAAATTACAGCTTTTCATGTGTAGTTAAAACACAGATTATAAGCCTAAAAGATTTATGGGATATGAATGAAAGTCACTTCAGCTGGGAGAACACAGGTGAAAAAAAGATCTACCAAGCCAGATGAGCAATACCCTAAATACTAAATAGGGAGGCTAGTGAAACAGAAAGAATTCTGAATTTCAGCCATTAAAGTCACATGGAAACCATTAGAGTTGTGTTTTTGTCAGGGGAAGCCCTAGGTAAGTGTATTAAAGATGACTCATAGGAGTGGCTCTCAACTGGAGTAATTTCTAAATGAGAGATGCCAAAGAAAACTGTAGCATCAAATACCACAGGCTGAATTACAAAAAATGCAGAATAAATAGGAACAATACTTGGAATTAATATGGTATTCAAGCTTATTCTAATTAGCCTTTTCCCTCTAATTTATGGCTAACTATTGCTATTAATCTTATTATGAACTACAAAACATCATAGATCTGAAAAACCGTTTAAACAGCTCCAATGCAATTCATTGGGTACACAGTCAAACTTTTCTCCCACATGAAGCAGGCATCAGTAGTTCCCCAATTACTCCATGGTTCTTTCTCAAAAGAACAGTAGCAAACTACTCATGTACTAAAATGGACTGACAATTTATCTCCCTTAGGACAGCATTTCCTCTGCATGCATGTGAGGAAGCTTTTTTTTTAATGCTGATTTTGTTTAACTTGAAGCAAAGCTATATGGACTCTTGATGCTGTATCTAAAAGAAAATACATATGAAGTATCTAGAATTGAGAAATACATGGCTATTGCTGCAGTGGCCTTTACCTAATCTCTAATTAAAAAGCTCTCATGAAAAAAAAAAATGCAAGTGACTTCAAATAGCAGCTGCTTAGCATATTTTTTCCTTTCAGTGAGCCAAACTTCCTGAATTTTCATACTGATGTCCTATGAAATTATAAAGTTAAGTCCTAATCACTATTTCCTCAATACTACTAATCAAGTTATTTTTAGGGAAAGCACTAAGGTCACTGTGCCCATATGTTGAGTCTTATCTAATTGTTTCCCTTATCCACCCTATGCTTATTTTATGCTATGCTCTGTAATTATTTGCTGTTATTTTCTGCATTTCTAGTCCCACATTTTGTCCCATATTAAATAATTGCTTCCTGCACTGCATAAACAGAGCACCTGATCGGAATGAATGACCTGCAAGACACTTTCTACTCTCTCAAGCCAGCATGTATTGTTTGAAGCGTTAATACTGATAAAAAAGAGCAAATATATGCATGCTACAAACTGACCATTTTTCCTACAAATCTGAGTAGTTATTCCTCTAAACTCACAGCTACTGGAAGCTTTAAAGACTGTCTCCCCATCTGTCAAGAAATTCATAAACGTAAGCAGGACTTCGTAATCACAGAAGTGAGTAAAACCAAAGTTCCTACACAAGGCACAAATAAACTGAGTGGATGAAGAAGGGAACTGAAGAAGAACAAAGTTTAGTATTTCATTTTTTTAAAAAAGGACTTTAATATAAATCTGAATACAAAAATAACCAATACACCTAGTCATCTCAAACAAATCTCAAGGCTTTCTTTTACTAATTCCCTGACAATTTGGCAAATGCCTGTTTTCTCTGTTCTGCAGTCATATACTCACAGGCTTCCAAAATATTTACTACAATTAAAGTCTGTTGAACTGTTTTTGCTTTTACCCATATTCTTCCATTCATTCCCAGCACCATCTCAAACGGGTACAATTGTGACAACTCCTGAATTATTTCAGATTTGGGAGCCAAGAGTCTGTAAAAAAAGATTTAAAAAGTCATTATACAGACCACACTATCAGTAACTAAACTGCAGTACTGATGTTATGTGAGCTATGAAGGCAACACCAACAAAAGGTAAGATGAGTAAGTCGCATATATGCATCCAGAACAGCAATACACCACCAGATTTTTGATTCTGCTCTCATATAAAATACATACACCTAAAAATACAGGTGTGATTTTTTCCTAATTAGAGTCAGAAGTAATATCTGATAATTGAAAGTGAATCCATACTTTTATAACAATTCCACAATTTAATAAGTCTCAAACTTACTGTTTGACAAAGTGACATTTTTAAAGTCCTGGTATTTATAAATTTAACACCAGAATCAAAGATGTACCTTCAAAAGAAAGCTTCCCTTCTCCTTCAGGAGACAATATTAACAGCAGTAAACATAAGAGTATTTTAGTTGTATTAGGTAAGAGAACACTGAAAAAAAGCATCAAGAATTACTGTAATACACCTAGGATCAAATAAAGATCCAACAGGCTTTCTCAAAGAAACATTACCACTTGTACCATACTGTTATTCCTTTACTTACATGCAGACAGAATTTGGAAGACATACAGAAAGGCTGAAAAAATATTTATGTAAGTTCATGCTGACTTCTGATGGGACATGTAATCAGACAAATTATTACTTTAAAAATCCACGTATGAAATAGCTGCTCTTCACCTCCAGACTGATTTTCCAAAGGACAACAAAACAAAACACCCAAAAGCAACAATGCTTAACTATTATTTAACCATATAATCTGGCATTTGTTGACAGTCACAGAAGTCTTGTGTTTATATCAGCATACATAACTCCAAAGTTCATGATACATTAAAAAGCTTCTGAAACAGTTCCTGGATTAACATGTCGGTTTTAAATGAAAATCCCACTTTTTTTTTTTTTTTATCTGCAGCAACATTTGAAAGCAATTTATTTTTCTTGGGAAGTCAGAATATAGCATGTATTGATGTGGAAAGAGCTCTTTAATCACCTATCAGCCAAACATACCTCCCCAACAATCCCCATTAACCAGAAAAAGGACAGTAGGCATTCACAGTTTTTAAAGTCCAAGGTATTAGATACATACCTGAAACCCTAGCTTGAATACCTTATTTTGCCAGGTCACCGACTTTGTTTTCCGTGCTACCCTGGCACCCAAATCCCTTTGTTTAAGCAGGTCACAACACACAATATTGAAGAGCATATAAATCTTTTAAGTGGGAAAATAAATCCTCCTCTTAGGCCAATATCCATACCCTATTCAGTAAAACTGTTATAAATGCACTAAAACAATTACACACTGATTACTGAACTGCCCACACTGCTCAGAAGAAATAGTTGCATGAATCCTACCCACCATAGTGCATGTTAGTGACTACTTACTTTCCTTAGTACTTACTTTCTTATTAGACCTAAGGAAACTTTAAAGAGGAAGCCATCTTGTCCAATTATTCCCATTCCACTTGATCTTCCACTGCTGTCTATACAGACCATCTCTGGTTCCATGTCTTTATTTGCTACAACGAACTGACCATAAATAAGATCTCCCACCTAAACAAAGCAGTATTAAAAAGCAAAAGTAGTAGAGAAGATCATACTGCACATTTGTAAGCAATACTCAGTTGCTACAGACCCTCTCATAAGGCCACAAAACAGCTTTAAAATACTGGTGAGACAAAAATAAACTGGTATAAGTAACAATTTTCATTTTCTCTACTTCAACTAAAGGCAGCATCCTCTAGGAAGAATTATCTTTTATCATTACTGATACTGGAAAAATAAAAAGTACAGAACCTTATTTCACTGAGTATTCCTCTTTTTAAAGGCCAAACATTATCCAATCTGCTTTTGCAGTCATTTATCAGGATGACGACGATAACAAAAAACAAAATAACCCCCCAAACAAACAAACAAAACCACAACTAACCCCTCCCTCCAAAAAAAAAGAAAAAAACAACACAACAAACCACACTAACCTATTTTGGTTTTCTTTACAGTCAAATTTTACATTCTGGTGATGATATCTCAGTTGAATGTAGAAGATATGGCAAGCATGTGCCATAGAACTGCTTAGAACAGTGTTGTGAGAAACATTTTCTATGAGTACTGGATGATATAAAAGCTTGTTTTAAACCCCTAACTCTGGAGTGCCCCCTCAGATGCATATTACTCATGAACTGTATCTGCTGCTGGCAATATTATAATAAAGTTAAAATGCAAGGAGTGAAAAAGCCTGCCATCTGACAGATATCAAACCACACTAAGTTAAATGATCTCTAAAAAAAACTCAGAAAACTCACAGCCCAATCGTGCACCCAGCAAAAATCACTGCAAATAAATCCGCACTCCTCCTTTTACATGCGGCTTATAAAAAAGTTCTACAAAGCAAAAACACAAAACCGTAACAGAAGCACCAGTAAGGGACATCGCTAGAGCGTTACCGCCAACCAACAAGAGCATTAACCTGCACGTTCGGCCTATTCCTCTTCGTGGCACCTTCAAAGGCCAAGTAGGACAAAGACGCCTGCTCGCTCCCACCGACATCCAGCTTAAACACGTCCCCCGCTTTGGCCGTCACTATTCCTATTGCGTGGTCGCCTTTGATCGGAACATACTGCAAATACGGTGTGCGGGACAAAAAAACGCGGACAAAAGGGTCAGGAATGCGTGGACAAGCTAAGGGCCTCCTCCCTGTCCGCTCCCCTCCGCACACAGCGGGTCTCCCCTCACCCCTACCCGCTTCTGCTGCGAGTCCACCCAGTAGGCACCACCGGCCGCCTGCCGGTGGCGCAGCAGGCCGCATTTGGTCACCAGCAGCCCGGCGTCGCACCGCCGCAAGCCCGGCCCGCAGAGTAGCCTGGTCGGCGGGGACGGGCTAGCGCCCAGCCGCAGCCGCTCCCCATCCTCGTCGGGGTGCGTAGGGAGACACAGCACGTCCCCGGGCAGTACCACCTGCCCCACACACTCCTCGACCGGTACGCCACCCCCCGCCGACACCGCCGCCATTGCCGCTCACGCGCAGAACGCTCGCGCCGCGCAGGCGCGGAACAACCGCCGCTGCTGCCGCGCAGGCGCGGGGATCTCCAGGGTAAGGCGGCCAGATTGAGGAGCCCTGCTCCTCCGGGGCGGGGAGGAGGTATGTGTACTGCGGCAGCGGAGCACCTTTACTGGCGGCTGTTGGACGTGCAGCAGTAGTTCGGCGTGGGGTTTAGCCTCAGGGGCGCCTTTGCTGCCCTGTGAAAGGCGTTTGCAGAACGCCAGCGACATCCTCCGGCCAGAGCGGGGGTGCCCGCTTTTGTCGCGCGTTTTAGATCTGCCCCATGTTACACAGGAAACACCGAAGCTAGTTTCTTACATTTCAAAAGCTGGCTTCATCAGCCAAGTGCTTCATGACTCCCTTCTCTTTCTGGAAATAATTAATTTTTCAGTCTTTCATTAATGCTAGGGAAAAATCAAGGTAACGTTAGCGCAGTTAAGCCTCAGACCTGGTACAGACACGGAATTAATCCTTTGCAGGGTTTTTAAATACCCAGTTAAAAGTCGCCAGTAAAACAAACTGCTGGCCAAACCTGAGGTGAATGGCAGCCAAGAGGCTTCTCACGGAGAAGAAACAATCAGTTTACTTTAACGCTGGGCGTCTAACCTGGGACGTGATGATTTTAAAGGTCTTTTTCAACCTAGTTGATGCTGTGATTATAAACTTCCAGCACGGGAGATCCCAGCTTCGTTTAAAAACGTGCCCTGTGCTTAGCTACAAAATCCTTGTTCTGTGTTAGCGCGGGTTTCTTACGCTAAAATTGCGATAGTGTTTTCTTCCCTTTCATATACGTGTGCATAAATATATTTATACATGCACGCATAGAACGATTCTGTCTCTTAAGCCTGTCAGGAAGGATCTGTAATGCCAGCTGATCGCACCCAGGGCTGGCTGAAGATGTCTTTCATTTTAGTGGAAGCCCCTTCTGTTACGAAAGGAAACCGTTCATGACGAGACGGCATTAAACGCGTTTCCAATGTTTTTTTTCCCCTAGGAAGACCCCACAGCACCCCCAAGGGACGGTAGCGGCCCCCCCGTGCCGGCTGTCCCGCTGCGCCGCCCGTCGGCCGCTCGCGTCCCAATACCGAGAACGACGCGGCTGCCCCAGCACTGCCTCCGCGACCGGCACCTCCCCACTGCGCTCGCCCGCCAATCGGCTACGCGGAGGTCGCAGTGCGCCCAAGAGCGGTGTTGCTTAGCAACCCGGCGTGTTGTGAGGCGTCCTGTGGCAAGATGCCCGTGCCAGCGTTGGAGCAGCCGCCAGGCCGGGTAAGATCGGGTCGTCCTGCGAGGCAAGGCTGCCGTGCCGGGGCTGCGTTCGGGAGGTAATATCGGGGAGTCGAGGAAATGCGGCTACTCTGAGGGAAGGCGAGCGGGGAAGCCAGGGTCGGCTGCGGAGCAGGCTAGATAATTACCCTAGCGACAGCTCGCAGCCTCACGGCGTCGGAAGCAGGGAGGTGGCAGCACCGGGCTCTAGAAAGTGTCCATTGAGCACGGGGTGAGGTAGAGTAATATGCCAGATCCGCTCTGGAAATCCAAACAGCGCCACAGGAGCAGGCCCGCCTGGCATATCATCCAGGGCAAGGATAAAAGCCCCAGCCTTGCGTTTAAACGGAGCTCAGGGCAGAGTGTGTGAGTTGGAGGCCCAAGGTAAGAATGGTCGGGACAACGGAGGTCTGCTAATGTGCCCTGACCCTTGTCATGGACGTATCACCTTGGGGGCCAGTGGAAACATAAAGGGTCAGAGAGGTTTTGTATCTGTGTCACTTCATGTGAGGTGGATTCAATCCTTTTGGTAGCCAATGAAGGGCATTTCAGTATTGCAGAACTCTAGTTTCTTATGCGCATACTGTCACAGTGCTAGTAAAACCTTGCATATGTACAGGTTTATGCCTTTCGTAACTGTGAAGAGTGATTGCTTCAGGCCTTGGTTTTGCATACATATTCTGAAAATAATTTTGTTAGCTCAGACTAAAATCTACCCTCACTCATTCACAGAACTACTTTGCTGTAGTTCAGCTATCTGTGTAGAAGTTTTCTGTGGTTTTGTTTTGTTTTTTTTTTTTTTTCTATCATGCTGACCTAAAGTTACCAGCATATTTCTGAGCAGTTTCTGAATTATACATGACTAAACAGTAAGGGGGATTTTAAGCATTTTTATTCCTGCAGTGCTGATATAACTGGACCTTTTAAGAACTAAACCAATATTAAATTTAAATTACTTTCTTCAATTACTTGCTAGGTTAGTGAAAAGAGTAACGTCATATTCAGTATTTGGTGCTTGGGGCAATAATTCGTAGAAACCGTAATTTAACTCTGACATTGATGGCTAATGTCTTTATGTTATTAGTAGATGTGAATGGAGTCTCAGTATCTGAAGAGATGGCTGGGAAGTTGCTTGAGAAAGGGACTGGCAGAGATTGCAGAACGTCGGCCTGCAGATCCAATAGAATATCTGGCACACTGGATTTACAATTACAGAAGAGTCTTAGATGAAGAAAAAAAGGTGGATCCATCTTGGTAAAAAAATATTCATGATAGTATAGTTGATGCTATTTAATCTCTATTTTTTCAATTGATTCTCTGTTACCTCTGAAATAGATAATGTTGGAGAGGATTGAGCTGGAACAGGAACGGGAAGCAGCCCGGACAGAACTCGAAATGTTACAGAAAGTGAAGGAAGAAGAACTAATGATCCAGCAGAAACTTGAAGAACAACGTCAGGTTAATAATATTTAGTAGTAGGCAGTTATAAATAGTATATGGTGCTGTGGCATCTTGTAGCTCTGTATATTTCTAATCTCTGTATAATGATTTGGATAGAAGGCAGCATAAACCTATTTTAAACTCACTTTTCTAAATAGTAACTGGAGGAATTGGTCAGCACATAGCAAGGAAAACTTGCATACTATGTGGTAAAATGTAAAAAAAACCCCAAAACTTACATAAGAAGTAACTTAAAATAAGACCTGGCTTCTGTAATAATTACGAGCAAGAGCTGGTGCAAATAAAGCTAGAAATCATTGCAAAAATTGACAAGCCGGTTAGGAGGTATGGGAATGATAATCAATTATTGTCTGAAGTTTCTCAGTGTAATATCAGTAATGCAAACAAAGGTAATAAGAAAGTATACACAATTGTAGAGATCTGAAAATGATTGTGAATCAATGATATGTAGCACCTTCAGTGTTGCTATGATAACATTGATGTTATCTGCCTGGATTTTTTCATATGGCTGACTTTCAGGATGCTCTCAGGAGGGTAATTTCAAATCCTGTTAAGCCCAGTTCTAGCATAAGATGCATTTATTCTATTTCACTTGCACTTTTAAATTTGAAATTTACTAATTTTCAGACCTGAAGTTATGTGCCTAAGGATTTGTTGTGGCTTAAACCCAGGCAGTAACCAAATACCACACAGCCACATTCCCTCTCCCCCGACCTCCCCTTTCCCCACTTCCTGGGAGGGATTGTGAGGAGAATATAAAACTAAAAGGGGAAAGGAGAGAAAAAAAAAACAACAACAAAATCCCACCAAAACCAATAAACACAAGTGACAGACAGCAAAATTGCCCACCACCCGCTGACCAATACCCAGCCCAAGCCAAGCAGTGATCCGTCCTTTCCAGGTGATTCCTCCCAGTTTATATACTGGGCATGACATGCTGTGGTATGGGATATTTGTCTAGTTTGGGTCAGGTGTCCTGTCTCTGCTCCCTCCTGGCTTTTTGTGCCCCTCCTCACTGGCGGAGAGTAAGAGACTGAAATGTTCTTGATCAGGGTAAGTGCTATTTAGCAGCAGCTAAAACATCAGCATGTTATCGGCATTGTTCTAGGACTAAAGCAGAAACACATCACTGTACCAGCTACAAGGAAGAAAACTAACTCTATCCCAGCTGATACCAGGATAGCATTTCATGAATCATATAAAATCGCAAATGGAAAGAATATGAGATTGTGTATAAAGATAATTCACAGGGAATTATATAAATTATTTCATGTAAACTATGGGAAAGATGTTGAATTATTCAATATTCACATTATAAGACACATTTTTTTAACCTAATCCGATTTTGGCTATAGTCATATACTCAGGCGTGTTTTGATTATATCTATGAAAAAGGAATGTGGAAACTCTTTACTACAATATGACTGCTCACAAAATGCTGCAACAAACAATATTCTCTAGATCCTAGTGTTGTTGAATGTGAGCACTTAGATTATGTAATTTCTTAATTTTTGATGCAGTAGGACTTAAGGTCACAAAGAATAAGATATTTCTAATTTCTAATTAGATATTTCTAATTAGATATTTCTAATTTCTGATATTAGGTATTTCTAATTTCTAACCTTTCTATTAAAGGTTGCTGCTGAAGATGATTAATGTCAATGACGTTGCTTACTGAAGTTTTATATAAATCTGATTTGATGTGGCTTCATCTGTGTGCTAGGTACTATATGAAGTAACAAAGAGCTTAATTCAAAGCATAAGAGATAATGAATATAGACTGATAAACAGCACGTGGAGCAAAACAGTATCTTAAGTGTGTACGCTAACCAGGTGTCTATTTCTTTATCCTCTTGATAGCAAAGACTTTCTATCCATGCAAATCTAAAACCTGTGAAAGTGTTGAGTCAGATGATGCTGGAAGGGTTTTATGTTATTAACACTGCAGTTATGTTTTATGCTTCCTTTTTAATTTTTGTAAGATTTTATTTGTGAAATACATTGTAAACAATGGGGTGGGCAATATGAATGTGGGGTTTTTTTCCCTTCTAATTACCTTTCTCAAACTGACTGCAGGCTCAGCTAGAACAAGAGCGTAAGGATTTGGAACTGCAGAATGAAGAAGGCAAAATGTCATTGCAGCAGGAAGATCAAGAGGTTTAAGCCACAGCTTAGTTGTTTGAAAATACTGTTAATCAGCTGCCTTTTCCGGATGGAGGCACTAAATCCAAAACATAATGCGGAAGCCCATGGGTGTTGAACTGACACATAATTAAAAAAAAAAAAAAATTGAAAATGGGGGAAGAATTTCTAATACATTTTTTTTCCAGTCTGGCTTTCATACTTACATTTTTATCTGTTCTATTAGGTTTATTTGGCTTATGATCAGAGCAGAGCATACATTTATTGCAAAATTTAGCGTAAGGTCAGCTTAGTTGATGCTTTCATATTCCTTGAGAAATGTGAGAAAGTATTATAATTTAAGTATGTCTGCTCTAAGTATTTAGACAGTAATGTTATACAGTGTGTCAGCCTGAAGTCCATTTGCTGTACCTGGAAAAGGAGCTGTGGTTTGAAACTGGGATGCTTCTTGATTCTGAGATCTTCCTGGTACATAGAAATTTGTACTAAGGGTTTGTAGACAGATATATTTGAAAATGCATGGTATTTTAATGCCATTTCAGTAAAAACATGCACTGATGATTGGCATGTTTATCTCATTAAAGCTTTTAAATATGAATAGCTCTTAAATTTACATGGAGCACATAATATTTTAGAGATATGTGTTTTTAGAGCACTGTTAAAATACTGAGAGCACATAACTTTAAGAAGATGACAATATAAAAGTGACAGAAAAAATTAATATATAGAAATTTAAACCAAAATTCCTGTTATTTAAAGAAGTCTGATAAAAATCGTCTTAACAAGCATGCAAAAAACATATTCACATACTAACGTATTTCTATAGCATGCATCTAAGTATTCTCTATTAATAGATAGTGTCATTTTAACACATCTGAAATATTCTCTGTAGATAATTATTTGTGATATGGAATACTTTTAACTGAAGACTGGTTTTTGTTACCACAGGAAAACGATGAAAAGATGATAGCTGAATTTACCGATAGAGCTGGAGTGTCTAATTTGACCAGTGTTGAGGAGCTAGATGAGAATGAACAGCTTGAGGTAAGTGTTTAGAAAGAACAGGGAGTTTATAAATGATTGGTTCTTAAAGGTTTGCTTTTCTGTGCTGACATGTCAAAGGTTAAAACTGTTGGAGTTAAGACCATGCTGGTTCTCTCCTGTGGTTTTGGGGGATGGTATTTTGGCCATAACCTTCCAAACTTCCAATAGCCTGTTCTCTGGTATAAGTTAAGCTATTCTAAAAGACACTGTGGTGTTGGCTAAGTTCTCAAGATTTAAAATTCCTTTTTATATTCAGGTGTGTTACAAATGAAAGTATGAATATAATCAGAGGAGGCAGCCTTCCTTTTCTATGTGAAAAGATAATCCTATACAGCATGTACTAAATCACAAAAGATTAGTTGGTTTTGAGTGATTTCAGTTATTTATATTTTTCTGGTTGGTGTGAAGTATATTTTTGTGCAGCAGAATGCACTCTTTTGCACATATTTAGCATATAACACCAGATACTAAGGACACAGTGCTCACTAAAGCTAGGACCTGCTCAGAATCAGTTTATTTGAGCTCTGTGCCAACAAGAATGTTGAATGTTTTCAGTACAACTATGGCTCTATACTGTGATCCTTGAATATCTTCTATGTCCCAAGTATTCAGTGGTTATAAAGATGCTGATATCTGTATTCCAAGTGTTGTGTCTTGAGATTTTGGAATACTAGTTTTAGTACATCATTATCAGAACCCTTTTTCCTTTATTAATAATTAATAATCATTAATAATTTGCTCACATGATTTCTGGCATCAGTAGTGTAATTCTAGCTCAAGATTTATATTGTGATATTAATATGCTGTATGTTTAGGGTTACTTTAATAACAGCCTGGTTTATAGGTGTTATCTAAGTATATTTATGAACATATTTATGACTATTTTTTGAGTCAGGTTTTCACAGGTGTTTGGTGGGGTTTTTTTTCACTAAGCTGAATCAGATCTCATACAGCCCCAGTTTTTATGTTTTTTTCAGATACTTATATATTAAATAGTATTTTTGAGCCTTCAGCTTTATTCTGTTCTTAAATAAGTGAATTTCAAAACCAGAAGCTGCTTCTTATATGTGCCATCTTCCAAGTTTTCATGCCTAAAAGTCATTTAAATTTGGATTACATTGGCCTTTGGTGATGCTATTTCAGGTCTTACAGTGATATGTTTGTTGATTTAAACTACAAATTGAGAGCAGGTCAATAAAATTAAAATGTATAGACTTGTACTATTGAAACTCTGCTGCTCTCAGAATCATAATACTTCATTCAGACTCACTGGATTTTATAATAAAAGTATGGTGATAAACTTCATTGTATTGCACTGAATGGAAGAATACATAATTATATTGATAAATACGGACTTATCTGTTATGTGAGTTGTTTCTTTTTATTTTTTCCTCATTTTTACTTCTAAAAAGTTAAGTTAATGCTGGCAACTGATGGAAATTTTTTGTTTGTTTGTTAGAGCACAACAGAAGCAGAACAAGAAAGTTCCCAACCGATCTGAAAGTAAATATATTTTCTACTCATTACTTGCGGATCCTGAGGTGCAATGTCTTAATTTATGTATTTTACATATAGAACTGATTTATATACCTGTTGTTTTGGTTTCTGTGCTTTCTGGGTGTTTATATAAAGTCTGTTTATTCTCACATGTGATGCTTCCTTTTTGTTCTTAAACCACTTTAGCTAGTCTGGCTAACTCAGGCAAAAAATTGCAATTGAAATGAAAGCAGTACATATATTTTGTACTTATTGCCCATTGATGCTTAAAGTGTAACTGTAATAATTATATATACAATTGCATTGTCAAGATTATTTTGGAGTAGATGCTACAATATCATAATTTGAATCAATATTGAAAGAACAAAAGGTTCTTTTGTTTGAAAGAACAAAATGTTGAAAATGGATTTTCCAAGAATTTGAGTGGTTTCTGATAGAAAGAGAGAAGGCTCTGCAGATTAGAAGATGGAGAGAATTCTGCATGTCAAACTAGATGCAAAAATCTCATCAGAAGATTTCCCAGTTTATATGGAAGGGATAAATTGAACTCTGTGACTCAGTAAACAGATCCACTAGAAGATCTTGTGTGTCTAAGAAATCTTGAAGTTCTTTTTGTGTCAGTTAGCTTTAGGCTTCACAATAACCTTTTCTGGCAGTTGTGTGGTATTAGGTGAGCTGCAAATGTCTGCATATCAATTTTGATTACTCAAGTCTTAAAATAATCTTTACTGCATTTGTCTTGAATTTGCAAACCAGTAAATCACATCAGTGTTGTTTTTACTAAATAACCATTACTAGTTCTCAAAGCTTCACTTGTAATAAAATATATGAATAAATTTCTGCAATTACTGATATCTTGGTACAGGTTATCAAGAATGTTCCATGTTCATTATAAATGGAAAAGACACCAGCATTAAGAAATCACATGCTTCTTGGCTTAAGCATGCCTTTACATCTTAGTGTCTTCTAATAGTACAGGTTAGTTGGAAAATTAATGTTAAGTCTTTGCCAATAGTGTGTAATGAAAATACTCTAGATTACAAATTCAGTGCTGCATAATTGATGCATGCACTGCATTCTTCAATTTTGGGATGAAAGAGATTCTGAGGATAATTTCACTTTCATTTGTTTGTATACATTTGTTTGCATTATAGCTGGCTTTAAGGGTTTTGCTCTTTGGCAAACTGTTAAAAATATCTATATACCCAACAGGCAAAGGTCAATTGTGTAATAAATATTTTTCTGCTCTAAATAACTTGTTCTGTTAATGTAGCTCATACTAGGCATAATCCTATCAATGTTTTAAAAGGTAAGCACTACTTATTTCTAAAATAGTAATGTTATTTTTCCCTTAAAAATAATAAAGCTTTTTTATTAAAAAAATCCTGTTGCCCTCTTTATTGCCATATTGCTTTTTGGATGCCATTAATGACATATAAACATCCTTAAAATCAAAAGAGGAAAGTATCACTTTCCAGGTATAAGTACTTAGAAATGTTTTTATAACTTTTTAAGTAACGAGAAATTGAACTACTTTTGTAACTAGGTGGTCAGGCTTTGCTATCTACATTTATTTTGCATTGGTATCGGTTTCCAGTTTTATGACAGCAAAGAACCCTTTCTGTGGAATAAACGTGCTGTTAGTGCTGATATTCCAGTAAATGGATTTTGTCAGGTTTTGATTATATTTATTAGTAATAGTCAAAATAGTATAATTTTAAGACCACATTTTAAGATACTACAGTTGTAATTACACCTCTTACACCTATACACTGTATGCACGGCAGCTTCTTGTGCCAATCTCAAAAGGGGTGGAGTAAGTGGGTAGACATGTGAACTTTCTCCTTTAAGCCAGTATGTGTAACTGGATCTTGTTTAGATTAAAATTTTCAAAAATTGATAAGTAACTGTGTTGATTTCCCTTTTCTGTCCAGTCATGCTGAGAAAAATTTCAGCCTTCATACAGCCTTCATATTTAATTAGGAAATATATTCAATTTGTAAGACAGTATTTTAAAACCTGCTAGGAAATTACTCTAATTGCTACTTCCCATATGTGGCTTTCATTTGTATCTTTGATTTTGTTGTGTGTCCACTAGAGTGCATCCTAGATAAGCACACTGATGGCTCTGTCAGTTGTAACCCATGAAAACAACAACTTTTGTTCATCTTTTTCTTTCAGCTTATTTTTAACTGTGAATTTTTCTTTGTGATTCTGCAATTCATATTCCTTTTCTAGGTAGGAACTGAATTTTTGGATGGGAACTTTTATCAGAAAATTGCTTAGTAAAGGTCAAAATAAAACGGTAGATTCTAATTTCCCTGTTCCTTTGCTGTTATTTTGTATACAGAAGACATAAGTTGTTCAAATGTTATTTATAGGATTTCCCATTTTTTCAGGATTTGATGTGCATAGACCTGGTGTGTTGAACACCTTCTATAGCTTTATAGGAATTATGTTGCTTGTGGGACCAAAGGATAAACAGTTCTTGACTCAGTGTTTTCTTAGGTGCAAAGCAACCTGTAGGTAACTTGGAAATGTAGTTCACAGCAAAGATGACTTCTGCTTGGGAGTCCAAGCCTGAAGGGAAATTAAGGCAGCTTAAAATCTCTGCCTTCTTCTGAACTTGAGCCTCCTTTGGAATATAGCAAGCTAGAGCTTGGAACAGGAAGAGAACAGAGGAGAATACGCTATTTTATTGTTACTGCATGTGATGTGATGTCATATGTGTTAACACAATTTAACCTCTGCATAAACTCTAGAGTTTTATATTGCGGGGGGGGGAGGGGGGGGGAAGCAATTACATAATGTAACTTCAACTACAGCTTACATTCTGTTTGAATACATTTTAGTGTAATGAAGAAGATGGAATGCAGAGGCAGGTGATAGAAAGTGTTGATGAAAATAAGATGCTAAATACTGACAGAAGATTTATGAAACTGTAATTTCTCCTTTCTTCAGAATAGGATCAGAGTTATTTAGACTGCTACCATGTTCAGGTCCTCCAGAGAATGTGCTGATAGTAACGTGCCCGTTCACAGCTGTTCTCATTCCAGTGATACTGAAGCATAAGGATGAAAACAGATATGAATCCCAGAATAGGACAAAATGAATCAGATTAACTATCAGTCTGCTCACAAAGATGGAAACTGAGCTCTGCAATGTAAGAAGTTTCTCTTCTTCTAGGAGAAATACATTTGCAGCAAGTACATTTTAGTGTTTGCTTTCAGCAAAGTAGGCTTTAAGTCCATGGTCCCCTTTCTTATGATGGATAATTTTCCTTCATAGTTTAAAGGAACTAACTTATGTTTATGTAAGCAAACTCTTGATGCAATAATTTGCTAGTGGTAAGAAGGGTCAAATGAATTATTCTGGATTAAATGTAAAATTGAATTTGCCTGAACTTTCCTAATAGAGTTTACTCACGTTTTAAGTCAGTTATTAATTGCTTTACTGCTGTGAAGTTTTTCTTATACTTTAGTTAGATAAAGAGCAGTGTTGTCTATTTCTACAGCTAGAAAGAGTCTAAACCCACTCTTTGGACTGATCTATCTTTAAAAACATCTTACTGGTGCACTTGATGTGTTTTTACTTTTGTTTCTGGCATTATTATTATAAACTCTCATGCAGTCTTTGTGCTTTATACTCATGTATTTATTTCAATTCATATGATGGAAGAAGCTATACTATTATAAACATTTATACAGGTATTTCAGGCTAATAATAGTGGAAGAAAGGAAGGGTAGAGGAAAGTGGCATTTAATCATGCTGTTACAGTGTAGCAGACTTTTTAAGAAGCAAAATTTGAGAGCTCTTGGATTTATATGCAGCTTAAATAGTATGAATCTTCCCTGTTAACTCATCCCAGCATCTTGTAGATTCATTATCATAAACTAAAATTGGTGTTTAACTTAGATTTATTGTTGTTTATATTACTGGTTGTTATTTGTAATAAGTTACTCTAGGAGATGCTACACCATGAAAAATTATATTCACTAGGCCCTGTGTGGAGATGCTAAGTGCTTCCATTTTGTCTTTAGTTATAGGGCACCCAAAACCAATAGCCATTTTGAAAAAATTGGGATGACTAATTACTTAGGTTAGTCTGTTAACTATATGGACATGAGGTAAGGGAGGGGGAGGTAAAAGAAAAAAAGAAGGTGTTTATGTTAGGCCATTTTATGATTAATGCCAAACAAGTTTGTATTATTATCTGAAAGTAAATCCACAGGCAAACAGTCAAGTAATGTCGTAAGTAGAGAAGGTAAGTAGAGAAATTTGCTTCTGGTTTGGTAATCTTTCCTGAGTTGTTATGTATTACAAAGACTGGATTGATGTGTCTGTACTGATGCAGAAGTTTATACTTCCCCGTTATTCTGCACCTGGCATAATTTAAAACTTCAATGTACTTTAAGCTTGGGTTTGATTTAGAAAAAGCATTTACATGTAGGAATATCATACCAAAGTTATCTATCTGAATAATATTACCCTCTCTAAGGAGTGTTAAGAAGCTTCAGGAATCCTTTTACAAACTCTCCAAGTTGTTGCCACTTTCTGTATGTAGTCATCCATGGATGTCAACAAAACTTGCTATTAAAAAGGATCCCTCCCCCCCCCCAAATCTTGGGAAAGTGTGAAAAATATGTGATTTTAGTTTGATGCAAGAACCCATTGGTGTTCAAGTTCAGCAAATTGTTTTCTGGACAGAAGAAATTATTTTGCTCATTGTTTCCTCTATAATTTAGATGTAGTCTAGTAGATTCCAGATAAAAAAATATGCTTTCTCTGAGAGAGAAGGAATAAGTATATCTGAATTTGATCAGTATCTTGGTTAGTCTGTTTTTCTTAATGAACTGAATCATATTTTCAGCTCTATTATTGAGCTGATTGCTGTTGTTTTACTTAAAAGAAAACCAAACAGAGCAGCAAAACTTTTTTTGGTGCACTGAGGAAGTAGTCTTCCAAGGTGTTCTATTTGTTCTCATTGAAGTTGCTGAAAAAGCTGTGGTTGAAACCATAAGGGGATTGAGCTCTCTACTAACACGAGCATGAGTTCTACCTCTGAGAAGCACTCTCCTATATGTTAAACT